CCCCCGGGCCGCTGGCCGGCTCTCCTGCCCCCTGCCCCATGGCCGTGCCCGTGATGTGTAACTCCTGCCTCTGCGAGCCCCGCAAACCCACGCCGCGGTTCGTGCTCACCAGCTGCGGCCACGTTTTCTGTGAGGTTTGCCTGCAGAAAGGTAATGGCTGCTGGGGCGCGCCCGGCGCCGCGGGCTGTACTGGCCCTAACACACCCACTAAACTTCGGCGTTTCTGATCCACTTTGGAAAAAAGAAAGCCCTGATTACGTTTTTTAATGTTACTGATAAGCCTTGCCAATSCTTGCTGTTGATTTGCTTTAAACAGTAAAACTCGGCTGTGTCCACCTCCAGGTGGATGTGGTTTTGAGAGCAAGCCTTGGGCACAGGCACCTGCAGGCTTTAATAAAAAGTGGATTCTGGATGGTTATGATTCATAATTTTGTAAAAAAAGACCCCACCAAATAGGTGGCATTCTGTTCTGCCTAATTTGGGCAAAGGAATGGTTTTTCATTAGTGAAAGACCGCTTTACAAAGCGTAGGATTTGTTTAGGGCAGGTTTTGTAAGTAGTCTTAAGCGTTTTAAGGCTCAGTATTGTTGCTGAAAACTTTCAGCAGCACTTGGGAAGATTAGAGGTGATGTTTTGAAGCTCTTGTGTTATATACCATTCCAGAGTCATTCAGGGACTCCTGTGATGTTCTCGGATGAGAATATGTGGGAAAGACAGAGGAATAATGAAGCTGTTTTTCAAAAGAAAAAAAAAATGCAGCAGACAAATATCAATGTTTTTCTCTTSGAGCTCATGCTAAATGCCCTTGTTTTTGTAAGGGCACACAGAAGAAATGATCAATCTGTATTTCAGAGTAAAACCTTTTGACTAGATATTTTCACAGGGTTGCTCTTGAGGATAAGGATCAAAATGCAGCCTCTGACTACAGCTTGCAGGCTCCTAGAACCTGAACAATATCTTTCCTTTCTGCTCTTAATATTGTTTGGCAGAAAAACACCTGTGAGATTACATATTCACATTTTTGCTGTGAATTCAATATTAACGATAATAGAAGCTTTAAAATGTATTTAAAGATGTTTATGAACTTTGATCCTTATGTGTATTTGTATTAGATATTTTCTAATATGTTTGCAAATAATCAGAGACAGTTTAAAAGCGGTAAAGTTTTAAAAAGTGATTTTATTGTTTTCTCATTGGAGGAATTCACAAGGTAAAATGATTAATTTTTTGACATTTAGGTTTCATATGTTTTATTGGGAGAACCAGACTGTGCCCCAGTCTAAGAAGCCGTATATCAGGTTGACTGTAAGTCATTAGTGCACTTAAGCATACATTTAATTAAACCAGGCAAGTAGTTATATTTAAATCAAGGGAASTAAAAGTCACCTGCATTCTGTGACACTAATGATATTCATAAAATCATTTACATGAATGCTTATTTGCAGGAGTAGAGCCTGATGACATTCACACACATTTTTCCTGTGCAACTCTGTGTAATGGTTATAGGATCAAATTCTTTAATCATATTTATTCATACTTCTTGTGTAACTTGCAGCTTTCTTCTGCAAGCTCCAGAGGTTTAGGAGCTTCCCATTCTATTTGCAATGTATTCAATATCTATTCAGTTTGATGTRTATTTCAAATGTGTCTTCACCTTACAGGCAACAAAGATGAATGTTTGATCTGTAAAACTGCTTGTCAGAYGTTAGTCCTTTCAAATAAGGTAAATCAACTTCAGTTTTGTTGCATTACATTAACCTGTGGTTTGCTTAACAGCTAAACTATTTGCATTACAAAATTTTTCCTTTTTTGTTTTTGCCGACTCTGACATGAATATTTACTGATAAGTTGCTAGACTTAGATACTTGTGCTCTAGACAGCTGAGCTTTTTATTGTATGCATTCCTTCAGATTAAAGCCTATGGAGACTTTTTACGTTTTCAGGTTYTGCTGAATAATTCTAAACTTTTGAAGAAATGTGACTGGTTGCTGTGTAACATCAGTGACTACTTCCAAAATGTGGAAAAATGTTTATCGATTTTGGCATTTGTACGTCACAGAAAATGAACCATAATGAATTATTTCATATAATAGGCTGGATTGAAAACCTGCATGATGTCTCAGCAATGTTTTTAAGTGGATTGGATTTTTTTTCCATTTTCTCTTCAGCTTAACTGTTTTCCTCRTGGCTGTGTGATTAAGAAAGGAGCTGAAATATTGTTGGGAATTCTAGTTATTCACTGGAGAATTAAGAGCTTTTAATTMCTTTTCTTGATAAATCATTAGGAATATTTAATTTTCCCATTTCTCCCAGGGGCACTCTTCTCTTTAGCTGATTTAGTAAATAGGTTGTGAAAACATTTGTATTTTTGTAGACTGATATCTACCTAAGAGGCAATGCCTTCGAAGGATGAAATGGAAATGCTAAAAACATTTAATAAAATTCAGTACAGCTTAACAGGAAGGTCTCGTAGGAATCTTGCAGGGTGAAGAAGGCAATGCCACTAAAAAAGAAAATTACAACAAACAGCAAAATAGGGTTATAATACATAGGAGCAATGCACACAGCAATCAAGTATTAAAAAAAAAATCAAAAAGTCCTTCATAAAAAATTTTAAGGACATAATATGCATTCAATATCAAACTATTGTTGCTGCAAATTTYGTTGTTCAGTCAAAGAATAGGCTGTCAGGCATCTCTGGAGGTCATCTTGTCCAACACCTTGCTCAAAACAATGCTAATTTTTAAGTTAAATCAGTTGTAATTATCAATATTTCATCAGAACATGATCATTTTGTTCAAAAATGCAAAAGGAATTAAAAAATGCAATGATTTGGATACTAACAAAAGTATTAGATGTTTCATTAGAACCTGCCACTGCTCTAGAGGGCTGGAAGGAAGCAAATTACCATATTCTTTAAAAAAGACATTAATGATGATTGCTTCTCCTTGATTAAGAACAGGTAAAATGATTGGAATGATAATTAAAGATGCATATAAAAAAGTCATGGGTCTATAATTCAGGAACCTGAGTGGAAATATACCTGGTAAGCTTTATGAGCTTGATGCTATGGAAGAATTTCCAATGAGGAGGAGGTCCTATAAATGTGTTAAAAGTCCCAATTAAATTGTATGTTGGGGTAATCAACATGTACACTTTAAATATTCTCTGATCTTTACTGTACTGTATTCTTGTCACCTTTATGTCTTCCTTCTGTGTCTCWTGATCCCCATTTGCTTTTCCCCAGGGGATGGTTAAGGGTTTTGATAAATCAGAATCTGGCTGTTCAGTATTTCAGAATATCATATTAACATCCACTAGTCTTCCATGCRGTGTTACTCAAAGCTTTATTTGAGTTTTTACATCAGCATGAAGCTGTTTGGGTTTTGTTTTTTTCAAATCTGATAGGTACTTAAACCAAGGTCATTGCTTTGATAGAACCTTAAATAGATTGCAAGAGCTTGGCTCCTATGAATGCATTTCATTTAAAGAAGCTAAATGTATTTTTATGAATATAGTAAGTTTTCTAGATGGTATATTATTGTCTTGTTTGTGTTTTCTTTACTTGAATACCATTGGTAAGTTAACTATGCTGTCTCTCTGCTTTTCTGTCTCCATCTGTCAGTTGGAAATTTTTGAATGCTTTTGCTAACGTCAACCAAATTCMAAAGTGCAGAGGAAATCTCAAATGCAGTTAATTACCTCCTGTGAGTTCTGTAAAAGTTAGTAGCTGGGGAAAGCAAGGAAAAGCTGTTTCCTTAGAGCATGCAAAGCTCTACAGTGAGCAAACAATGTAGGCCATCATCAATTGCTGCACAAGACATCACAGTAAATGATGTSAGAATATGGAAAACAGAAGATACAGATCTATTGTAAATCCCAGTTATGAATTTAGCTCCTTGCACAATTACTTTTCATAAAAAAAAAATCACTCAATGTCCCTTTTATTACTAAAAAGATATAATTTAAATTGCATTAAAATTTAATATAAATATAAAATTTAATATAATTTCAATGCATTGAAAATAAATTTGGCTGTTATTAAATCTTGGATATTTGACTTTATGCTAGTGTTAAGATATTTTTAGTGTAGGTAGAAATACTGTCTTTCCAGATGTTTGTGCAGTTCAAAGTGGAGCAAAGCTTAGCCCTTTTTGATTTCAGTACTCTATTTTTATGTGACTGCACTTACCCTTCTGCTTTCTCAGTGTCCCAGAAAACTTACGTTTCATTCACAAGTTGCCTAGTTTCTATTTTTTTTTAATAATTCGCCCTCTAAAGTGTTACAATTTTTTAAAGCATTTTGAGATTTTTAATACTGCTGGGAGTGATTTAGATCTTGCCTACAACAGTTCCGGTTGTTTTTTTACTGGATTTTGAAAGGTGGTTCCTTACATGGAGGCTGCCTTCTTTCTGGGACAGCCTTCTCCTATCRTCTAAGTATGCCAGCATTATTTTTGGGGTTTTTATTCAGATTTGGGGTAGTTGTAAACCTGCCTTCTATTWTATAATCACAACACATAAAAGAGAACCTTCCAGTTTACAGGTAGATTTTTTTCCCTAGATTATTGTTTTTGAAAGCTCTTTAACTATTTAAACTTAGTACTGTAACTAGTATAACTCTTTTGGAGTTGTATTTTCTTTGTTTTTCTTATGAACAGATTATGCATGCCTGGATTCTGAATTAAAGTAACACTTAAATTATCTGCATTGCTTTGTAGATTTGGATAGATGTCCGAATGTCACTTTTATTCTGAAATTCACTTTATATTTTGCAGCACTTTTTTCATCACCATAAGTAATAAATATATTTTTATTGCAATGACGGCTTGGGTGTAGAGCACTTACTCAACATTTTTGAAAAGCACAGGTGACCATTTGTGAGGACACATCGTGATCTCTGATTAAAAGAACAAGTCATAAAATACTTTAAAAGTTCAACAGTTACTTTATTTATTATATCTATCTTATTCTAAGATAATATTTTGCTGCCCAGTGAGCAGGAGAGACAAAGGGATCCCAGTCAGCATTGGAATATTCTGTTAAAGGACTTTGTGACAAAACTGATTATAAGATGCATCCATGTGGCTGGGAATGGGGAGGACCAAAAAGCCTGGAAAGGGGCTGCCAGAAACCTTGCTGTTGGTCTGGATGCAGTGCCTCTTCCAGGGCCACAGCAGCCTCCTTGAATGGCCTCTGAACACCTTTACTATCTTATTTACTATATTGGTATATAATATAATTAAACCAAAGCCCAAAGCCTTCCAGGTGGTTGATAAGGGCATTAAAGAAAATTTGGCTTGTTTTTAATTTTATTATTCTACTCTGATTTGGACTTTTTTTTATTTGTATACATCAGTCTATTTAAGAAACACTTTACAAAAGACTTTTGCTCTTATAACTTGCTTATAAAAATCCTAACCTGGGYATACTTTCCTTTCTTCATAGGTAAGTCCTGATATTCAGTCACTGTTCATGGGAATACCTGTGTTATGCAAGAAATATTCAAAGGAAATATTACAGGTAAATCTGCCTTAAAACTTTTTAACTATGAAATAATCAGCAACTCCTACTGATTTTTGTGTGAATGGGAAAAGTATATGAGTGAATGACTGGAAATGAATGTATGTCCATTACCATCTTTACTTCCTTCATTCCACAATTTCAAAGTTCTTGAAGACATAAATTATTCATTATGKTCACTACTTATATTTTCAAACTCTCTCTAAGGACCACTAGTCTGATTATTTTAATGATGTAAAATCACTTTCAGTGCTGTGCAATGAAAAATTAGATCTGCCAGAAGCTTAGAAGTGCCTAGGTAGTGTGCCTTAATGATAGCAATAAAAAAATTACGCGGTGGAAACCTGAGCTGGCTACAATCCTGAGTCTACTGTGCTGTCATTCCCTTTTTTTTTTCTGTTTTTTAATCAAAACAGGTCCCTTTTTTTCAGATAGGTGCAATAAATGATTCCAGTAAAAATTTCCTCCTGGCTTTCTGTCAGTTCCAGATAGGATTCCTTCCTTCAGGCATAGTTTCCACTCAAGACCTTTGGTAGCTATCTGGGTTGAATGAGTGCATACCAACACCCATTAGACCCTCATTTTCTGCATCTCTTCAGTTTGGCTTTGGGACTTGGTGTCCCTGGTCGCTCTTCCTGTGCATTTCAGCAGCAGTTTCAGCCACTCCAGTAGTACATTCTCCCTGGACCCAGCTGCAGCCTTCTTTGTCAGTTCTCATCTCCCTTGGGCTGGATGTTGTTTGATCTTTGGGTGAGCTTCCTAATCCAACAGAAAAATAACCCAGGGAATATTGCCTRTTTTCTCCAGCGCTGGTCATGGATTCACATTTGCAGTACCCCAGGCATCACAGACTTTTCCAGAGCTGAGCTTGGCCCCTTTCCTCAGCAGTGCTCCTCAGATGCAGAAGGGACACAAGGTAAACATGAAGCCTTCCTTTGTCCTTCCATACCCACTGTRTAATAGCAAGATCAGCAGTTACTCTGTAACTGCTTCCATAATGTGCTAAAGGAAGGAAAAAGAGGGCTCAATCTCTAAAAGACTAAAATAGGTTTTCCGTAGCCTGAGACAACCTGCTGGGAACATACTGAAGTTTAATGAAGGCATTGAGGTATGTTCAGAACTTGTCCCAGCATCCATAAGAGCATTTTATCTAATCTCTTACCTAATCTAATATTCTGTCACAATGGTGGGTGCTTAGGAAAGCAGGAGAGCAAAACTGGCATGTAGTGATTCACCTTCAGAAGAGCTTGCTAGCTTTGAACAACTTACGGCACGGGGATTTCTCAAGGTGAGTTGGTGCCTCTGCATTCAGAAGCTTGTGGTGGGTATTTTCCCCCACATAATTGTCAGGTTGTTTTCTGAATTTTAGCATCTGTGTCATACATGTCTATGGAAGGGAGGTCCACAGGCTGTTACTGTGTCATGATGATGATTCCAGCTTTCAGGTTTTAACCTGTTTTGTTCAACTCTTGAATCCAGTTCTGGAGGAAAAATTATCCATTCCCATGCACTGCATCTCTGCTTATTAGTTTTAGACTGCTAATGCATCCCTTCTTCAACTATCTTTTTTTCAGCCATGAAGATTCATATTCTGTGACATCGTTCTTTTACTGAAGCTCTTACACAGCTCTGATTATTCTGAACTATTTTCAGACCTACTCCATCCTTTCTGAGACGTTAAGCAGACTCAGGATATAGTAACACGCATTTTTTAAAGTGGAATGATGATGTCCTCTACTCCATTTTAAACCACTGATCTGATCCACTTTTTGACTGGTAGTGAGCACTAAACTGACAAATTCAGGTTTCTCCTAGACCCAGGAACTCATTTCTGAGTGAAGGGAGGCAGCTCAGAGCCATCACTTCTGAAYAGATATTTCTTGCCTCAGTTATTCTGAAGACACACTTGATCCATTAATAAGTGTTCAGTGAGAACCTCCCAGGTTCTTCCACATTGAATAAAAAGTTGCCATTTAAGTTGGATACTCCATTATGCCTTTATATTCTCAGAGTGCTTCTTCGTGGTTGTCTCTATTMCTACATTTTCTGGCAGTTTTCTTTCATGTGAGAAAGAAGATTTATTAGAATTTATTTCCTGTGGTAATTTGTTCCTCAAGCTCTTGTCTTGCCTACCTTGTCTTTTTTACTTTTAACCTGTCATGGTTTATGATCCTCATTTGGACATAAGAAGTGCTYACACATCACCAGACAGTGTGTCTAACAATTATTTTTTAATTAACAGGGTATTTTTACAAGGCATATTATAATTGCCCATAAGACAGATTACTTTTTATGTTGCCATTAATTTTATGTGTTTGCTTAGCACTAATGAATAAGAAACGCTGCAGCTAAACTGGCTTTCTAATGTCTTTACATTTTTATTGAACATAGTGTTAAAATATAACTTCAGTGAAATAAATCTACCAGCTCTAGTGTAGGTCATGTTGGATTAAATTWACTTTGTAAGACTTTCTCTATCAGTGATAATAATTTAGAATATTTTGGGTTTTTTTTGGAGAGGATTAAAGAAGATATGTTAACTACTTACTAATTCAAAAAGCTTTGAATACTGTGAAGTGGTTCTTTTCCATCAATTCTTTGCTGAGGTACGTATATGTAATTATGTGAAGCTTGATATAAATGTATTTATTTTTTAGGTTTCAGAATTTCAAGAAAAACATCGTAAGCATTTATTAGCATACCACAAACAAAAGGTAACTCTAACTGAGATTTTCTTGTTTTTTATTTATGTTTGCCTTGTWACTTTGGTATATGTTTAGAAACTATATTAATCTTTTATTGGAATACTTTGAATAATTTACCAGGATGGATAAATTTCTCATTTATGCCTTTATAAATTCCAGGTTTTAATTGTTTAAAGTCTGTGAGGACTATATTTATTATGGTAACTATTTTTAATAAAATATTTTAGTTGTGAGATGATCAAGATTAATAGAAAATCAAAGGACAGGAAGGGAAAAAGCCAATTTACTGTATGGAGGGGAAAGTGRAAGAGGTGGGGAGAGATGGGTGCTAGAAGATAAGCCCAGACAACAGGAAGACTRGGGCTGAAAAAATAAATGAGAAGCTTGAGCCATGAAGAACAAGACTGAAAGCTGGTACCCTGAATTTGTGATAGCTCTGTGGAAAGAACAGAATTAGTTATTCTGCAGAAAACAGSTACTGAATTTTTGATTGTGCATCTTCCTTTGTAGGTTAGTAGGCAAATTYCTTTTTCATTTTTCAGCTACTTCTAAATATTAAATAAAATAGTTGGATGTTTCTTTCATTTCAAAACACATGGCCACGGATATTGCTTGAAACCACTTGGCAGTATTGGTGACTCAACCCATCAGTGAGTGTCCCATGTGTGAAATGACAGTAAAGCTCATGTAGCTGCCATTTCATGTGTGAGGAGAGTTTCTGGTGAGATTGTCATGGATAGAAAGCTTGGAAAATTAGGTGCTCTGTGGGCCATTCTTCTCTCCTCTCCATGACTGAATTTTGGGATCAGACATAGTGTACTGTGGTGTTTAGAGTTTTTTTAAAGTCCTGTCCTTCTGCCTTCCAAGCCAGGTTAGGGAGGAATCCTGATTTCATCCCCCTTCTAATCTATTGTACCAACTCCAGATGGTAAAACCTGTAGACTAAGTAAAATAAATCTCTTAATAGAATTCAGCATAAATAGAGATATTATCTCCAAAGAATCTGTGGAGAGTTTTGATGCTTTTTCATTGTAATTTTCTAAGTTATTTACTGTTGAGATATTCAGACAATACTGTAAAATACTGAAAAATGCTGCTTGACCTTAGGAAGGTTTTCAGGTCACAGTACAGAAATAGTTGAAAATATAGTGGGTTGCTGCTTCAAYGACACACTGTTTTGGGTGGATTTGTTGTTGTTTTACCCATTCATTGTACTGTTTGCATGTTAAAACTGCTTGCATTGGGTCAGGTCAGCAGAGGTTTTTTCTCTTAAACACCAGTCTGGTTTCTCATGCTTGGTTGCCTTGTTTCAGGCTCCCTTCCTTATTTGTAGTTTGTCATCCTTATCACTGTCAACTAACAAGATCTCATGGTCTTTGTAAAACTGTTTTGTTGATGGTTTTGTGAGTTGTGCAGATATTGGGGTGCAGGTGATGTGTGTGGTGTGGGCACTTGGTGTCTATATTCCTGGCAAGTCCAGATGYCCTGTTGTGTGCTAGGACCCCACAATACTGAAAACCAAATAGTTACCTTTTTTGAGGTACTTTGGTCTTTACCCTGTTGCTCTGCAACATATTTTTTAAATACATCCTTCCTGACATCTGTACTGGTCATTTCCTTAATCAAACCTAGCTGTTATTAGGAGGAAGGAAAAAGAATACCAAACTCCACATCTTACATAAATTATATTTTGTCTTCAGTCTGTTTTGCAGAGTTTTGCATCTGCAAAAAGAGTGTAATATCTCCCACCAACAATATGATTTTATAAATCAGCTAATTTTATTAAATGACTCAAATAATATAGTGAGGAGCATGAAAAGTTAACAAGCAAATTAATAATTTGCCTTCAAATCAAAATATGAACGGTGTGAAGGATTAAAGTCACATAATGGAAATGAGGGATAAAATATAGATGCAGTATTGAGGCTATTCAGTAAATTTTTACATCCTTCATAAAATATAATATATGTTCACATAATGAAAGACTGTAAAAAATACACATACTAGGGAGCTGACCTAATGTTCTTGACCTTAATATTCTTCAATTTTGCAAGCTCATAACATTCTTTAATGGAGATACTTTTGGTTGTGTCTTTAACATAGTAGGAAATACTTTTCACTTAAGCTTATTACAAATAGATACTGCAGTGAACTGAATACATTTTGAATCTGAAATGAGAAATATGGGAACATGGTATTTTGTACATTTATTGGTAGCTTTTATATCAGATAACTCCATATTAAACATACCATCACTTTTATATTAGATATGGAAAATAGGAAGAAAAAGAAAACTATTTTTAATCACTTTTCCTAGTATTCATTTATTCARTATTACCAGCACACTTAACAAAAGGTAATCAAACTAAGTCTGTAACTGCCAAAAAGAAACATATCTCTTCCAGACTGACTGTTTAATGGATCCATAACACAGCTATAACAGCTCCAATAAATCTGGAGTAGCAATGATGTTTTAAGATTAGAACCAATAGAAATCAGCCTTTCAACACTTTAGAATATGTGCTGGATGACAATGAAGTTGTATATCACACAAATAGATTTTGTTTAAATCTATGATTATCTCACAGATAGCAAAGCTGGAAGAGTCTCTCAAGAAAGTGACACAACAAATGCATGAGCTACAATGGTAAGAAGTTTAATGCACTAGAAGTAGATGTAATCAGACAAAAGTAAGTTTAATTGATAAAACAATGGAAATTTCATACTTTGTTTGCTTTTCTCATATGTTTTTATAGAAGTAAATGGATAGTTGTTTCAGACATCAGATCCATTTTCCATTTCTAGTAAAAATTAACTTATTGAATTAGTGTTTTTTCTCAAACGTTTCAAAGTGGTAGCCAAGTGGTAGCTTGTCCTTATCCCCCTGCTCAATGACTGATACATCTTAATCTTTTCTTATTTTCTTATTATTTTACTTACTTCCAACTTAAAGCCAAAATTGTTATTGAGATCTCCTTACCAAGCCAGTTCATGAAACCAGTGTTCTAATTGGACAAGTTTATTGATCTTTATTCTTGTCATGTTAAAACTGCTATTGATGGATAAAATTCTTTGATTTTATACTTTATGGACCACTTAGACATATGAACTAACCAAACCAGCTTTCAGTTTATATCTGATGTTTCTTCTTTCCCCTTTAGTATGAAACCTCCTGAAAAAGCTACACCACTGCAATTTTCCAGTGCAAACAGAAATGCATTTTCCAGTAAGAAGTGTTGGTTTAAGATACTATTAACTATTAACTAAACTATTAACCTGTGACTGGATACAGCTATGTTCTAATATTAAATTTCTTAATTACTTTAGCTTCTTCAAGGAAACAGAATGTTTATTCTTCMTATTCTCTTCATTCTAGTCATCCTTCCTCTTCTGAAAGGTGAGTACATATTTGCTAATTTTCAACAAAATCTTAACATATTTTGTGCAGAAAGTCCATTGTTTTTGTAGTGAATTTAAAATTAGAATATTTTCTGGTTTTGTGTTTTGTGTCTGCACACATAAAAGAACTGAGGAAGGTCTTATCTATCCAAGTGTACAGAATAGTTGTATAGATTGTGGTCAATGGAAAAAATCTAAGTCATGATGCACTTTATTCCAAAGAATTTCTGAATGAATAGATAGACTAGATAGACAGATTAATTAGTGAGACACTTTCCATTTACCATTTGGAAAAACTAAATTCATTGTACAGACACGTATATGTACACTGTAGTTGTCTCAAGTTAGATGGGATGAGCCAGTCAGTAAGACTCGTTTAGTTCTAAATAAAATGAATATACAGCTTGCTCAACCTAAAATGTTTCATTATGTTTGCCCGTGACTTGTTTTTCTATGAAAAAATAGAGTTTCAGAGTGCCCTTGTTGCAGACAGAAATGTCAAATACATAAATATGCATATTTATTCAGACAAATAGAAGAATAGCAATGCTAATTATAAAATAACTTTCTCTGTAAATGCYTAAACCAAAGCTCAGAATCAATGAATAGATTTTTCTTACTGCTACTGMGTTTTGGAATAACTCCTAAATACCTATATGTGTTATGCATTATGTATTATGCTTTTCCATTACTAGTCAAATTTAACATTAGAATTTAACATAATTTTTGTCTTCATAATGAAAATGTTATTTTTATTACAATGTCATACTTACTTTGACCTTCCTTGCAAGGATTGAGGCAATGGAAATYGATCCTATACCTTCACCAATAAGGAAAGTAAGTGGTTTTTTTTTAATACATTTCTAGATATGTATGTATACACACATATATTCTTTTGATTTCTCCTACTCTGTTAATGGTGCAAAAAATAGGATTCTGCCCCTATCCCATTCAAGACAWTTCTAATGCACATGCTGGTTTCAGATATGCTTGATGCATGGTACAAGTCAGATACTCCTCAAAGGAAACCAAAAAGAAATAATTCACAAAATTTATTTCTGGAATCATAGTCTCCACATGCCATATACAGGCTTTTAAAYTTGTGATGCCAAATTAAATGGCAAGTTCTTAAAATTTCAATATTACAAAAATGTCAGTGGTCTGAAAGCACCATTGGGCTCTGGTATTTAAKTAGGATATTGCAAGTTTTGGAAGAYGTTGCTAACATGAGAATGGAGCTTTTCACTGTGTTRATATCCTGATTAGGAGAGGTAAAATCCAGGAACAGATGCTGGCTTAGAAATGGAATCTCATCACAGAAAACAGTGGGAGTGTCTGATATGTTTCTTATCTGAATGTGACAGATAGTAATAAAATGAAAATGCATGTGTTTCCCTCATGCCCATAGATCTTTAAAAATAGTAACTTAATCTTAGGTTTTCCATTTTAGTGCTATGAGCAAAAGTGACAGCAGGGGATTCCAGAAATAYGCAGGCTCTGTAGACCTCAAAAATATAACACTATTGCTTAAAATRTCTTGATAATTAATATACCTACTACACTTTTGTTAATGGCTGGCCATTCATTTAGCTCCAGACACCTACTGGTCCAGCAAGATTATCAGTAATAACTCCACCACAGGATGGACGTATGGGTGAGTAAAAGTAAACTTTATAACTGAGTAATGTTTCTCTTACATTAAGAGGATGAATAAAATAAAATCCATACATTAGCAGTTAACTAAAAAAATYTGAATTGTGTTGAGGTGTAAGGAATTGACCACATAGACTTCAGTCCGGCAGTTGGTAAATTGTTAAAATGACATATGAAATAACTTGCTCRTAGTTACTTTTTTATTCAGTAGATGATTATGTGTAACCAAACTGATTTTTGCTGAGTAAACAATTGCAAAGAAAATACTATAACTATATGTATGATTGAACAGAACAGGAATACTTGCAGCATCCATTGTTGACCCTCTGTTGACCTTCATAATTTTATTTGTTTATGGTYAACAGAGTAGCATTGTCCATAATGTCATACTAAAAATCACATGAARAAAAGGGAGGGAACTAAATGGAAGTTAAAAAAAAATACTTAATAACAACAGTAAGGTAGTTGAGATCAAGAATTTGCTCAGAAAGTTGTGTGTTTTTTCCACCCTATCACTGTAACAGGTTATAAGTCATTTTACCTGGCACTACGTACTTTCATTCCTTCATACCCTGAACTTGGATAACACTCAGATGTAAATGAGACATGGATAACAACCTACTGAAATTGGTGCAGTCTGTTGAGAGCTTTTTTGTTTATTTGTGAGGAGTTTCCCAGAATTGCTAATGCTTTGCAGGTCTCTCTTTGTATGTCTCTCTCCTTCTTAGTTTTACATTCAGCGTGTTTCTGTAGCAGTCCATGCTCAGACAGGCTTTCACCTGGCTTCAGCAGTTTATAAAATCCATCTCCAGCCACATAAAGAGCTTTTAGCACTCTCATGTTTTTACATGGTGCAAATGTCCCAAAACAAAGATGCATGCAGTTGCAATGCAATTTCAGTTAAGGAGGAGAGATTGCTTTTTCTATTTTATGTCTGATTTATATGCTTAGAGCTTTCCTAAATGCATGCTTGCTTGTAAATTTAGGTACAACAAGATAAAGAGAGCTGAGGTTTACTGGTTTCTTTATTGTGTCTAAATATAAATAGATATTTATTAGATAGTAAAATTATATGTAGAACAGTTATGTGTTCAGCACTTTTCAGAACCATCCCATAAAGTTTTGCAGTGGTCAGTGCTGAGGGAATCTAAGTGTGTGTGCAAAAGTAAGGGTAAGTGGAAACAGTGATTGAATGGTGCACTAAGGAAAGTTTCCTTCTCAGAGGTGGRTGGGCCAAAAAAAGATAAGCTGAAGAACTAGAGCACTTCAGCACAGCTGTCTTGATAGTCTAATAATAGTGTAATAAATGAAAGAAGGTGAAAGAAACAACACGTTTTAAATGGAACAAGATTTGCAGGGATGGTGCAATACGATTTTTTTTGACAGCTGAGTTATCTCATTGACTACTGTAATTGTGCACCATTTTTAATTCTTGAATGAACCAATCATGAATTTGTCCCAAATCACTCAATTAAAGTACTAATCTTTTAGTTTCCAAAGTTATCTCGTAAGTAAAATGGRTAATTCACATTGATCCTCTTTTCAAAAATCTGATTCTAACAGGGAGTGTATCCTACAGAAGTTCTCAGACATCTCTAATAATGTCAARTCAAAATATTGGAGCAGGATCTACAAGGTAATTCAATCCTGTTTTCCCCAGGTTACCTATAAGAGACTGAAGTTTTTCATCAGGCCTGTATTAGTTTCTATGTTTAAAGATTATATTCTAGATCTGAAGAAGTGTTAATTGTCCAGCCTGGCTATCATCTACATGAATGTGTTGAGTTTTGGTGGAAGGTTTTATTTTGAAATCACCTGTTTCAAAAATGTTCAGRTATAATCTGAGTTTCTGTAGCTGTTATCATCTACAGTCATATTTCTATAAAAAAGGGGTAGTAATTTTATGATAAGGAAGTGTAGCAATGTCTCTGTTGTAACATTCTTATAAAAATTAGAGATGACAGCACAATATCCGCACAAGGACTATTCTCTAAATAATCAAACCTTTTCATGCAACCTTTAAGTGATGTTTCAGGTTTTTCATTTAAAGATTGAAAATGCCTCAAGCTGTGAGAATTTTTATCAATAATCACTTACTATTATCAATAAATAACTTTAAATGGTTCCAGAAAAAGTAAACTCTTGTACTTTATAACAATTAAGACAAATATATTTTCTTAGCAGAAAATGAAAATATATGTAACAAAGTAYTTCTTTATTTCCATCTCTGATTCCATAATTTGTTTTGTCAGTCTGCTTCTTGAAATAYGTAAAAATCTTAATAAGTAAAAATATATAATTTATAACATTTTCCTTTAACATATTAGCACTATGAAGTATCATTTTGAAACCTCTTGTATTATTATAAAAGTAGCCTTAAAYCACATGAATTAATTAATTTCATTTACAGATCCACCCCTGTAAGATTACAACATAGTGTATGTCCATCATCATCTGGATCCCAAAGCAGTAGAAGGGGTTCATGGGCAAGTTCTGATTTCAGAACCCCTCAGCTGTATCCATTTACATCACCTTCCCCACAGCTCTCTCAGTCAAGACATCCAATCACCATCCCTGGACTTCTGCAAAGGCAACAGTCAGGTAAGTATATTTATAAAATAACATTTAACATTTCCCTCAAGATTTTTCAGCGCAGCAGCTTTTGTAAACTAAGCAACATGAAAATGATATTTCAAAATTGGAAGAAGGATCACAGCAAAATATGAAAAATGTTGGTAGTTATGATTGTATTTTGCCTTGGTCTTACATGCTGTACATCTGCTGTAAAAATGTGTTCTTTCTTCACTTCAGAATGATACTTTAACAGAGGTTTAAATCTGATAATGTCCAAATTTTCTGTCCAACTTCACATTTCTTAATGATCTGCCTGTCAAGACCTCCATGTAGATGTCCACAGATCATAATAAAAAGGGAGCTATTCCGGGGTTTTATTTGTTGAGTGCAACATAAAACTAGCAAAAGTAGCTGCATAGATATCAGYCCAAGAGGGATGTAAGTAGGAGTTGCACTGGGGCAGATTAATTAGTAAAATAACAAAATCATAGTCATAGAGTCAYAKARCAGCCCTRGTCAGAAGRCACCWTGAATRRTCCAGCCCTTTTTGGGAAAGGGAMCCAGGATGAAGTTATGTAGTACCCTGACCAATCACATCTTGMAAACATAATTCTCCTTATTGCAAAATTTGCATTATAAGGGAATTATTTTTTTTTAATTTACATTAAAAAGGTAATTTATCTCTTGAGCAATTTTTAGTCCATATCAATAAATGTGATCTTTGTATTCCAAAATTAATACATCTTAAGCAGTTTTGAGTTCACAAATCTTCATGAAACCACAATAAAAATTTTTAAGAAATTCACTTCATAGTTTCATAGCTTGTGAAAGCTTACATTATAATTGTTTAACTTGTGAAGTTTCTGGATGATGGTATAGCATGAAATAAGTGAAATGGTATAGCATGAATAGTGAAATAAGGCATGAACCTGATAGAATCTCTAAATAATGTGGGATAAATTAATGTTATAAAAGAAGTAGCTGTTGAACTATTRAACTTAAATATTAGTTGTCATTTAGGTATATGTCTGCAATTAATTGCAGTTCATAATAATGCTTTGGAGATTCACTTGTGTAGCTGAAATTAGAATATGGCAAAAATGCTTTTATRGAAATAAAGAGGAGCACATTTACATTCATGAAAACAGCAGTAGAAAAGTTTTCATCAAACTATATAGGTTGTATTTTTAATTTTTGAYAGTTTTGCTTTTCCTTATATAAATTCCCCAAATCATTTACATGAATAAAGTTTTCCTTTAGTTTTACCAAGATTATTTTCATTTCATTCCTATTCTAGGATCAACTAATTTTGGAGGACATTCAGCAGAGAGATGAGCAAACATCTGAATTGTTTTGATTAATAAGCATCTGGAGAAGCCCTACATAGTCTTTGGATATCAAAGTATTTGTAGCTTCTRTAAGATGAAAAATTGGCATGAAACAACTAATTGTTCAGCATGAGTACTGTATTTAAAACATCACTGATCTTTCTGATTAATATCTACTGTTGTTTTAAATGGGAGTAAATAATCTTCTTGTTTTTTGAAGTTCTGGCTTCAAATACATTGTATGAATAAAAATCCTTTATTAGCTAAGTGTTAAAGCAAAACATGATCATATSTTGAATGAACATTTTTTGCTGTGAATGCRTTGAGCTACAGCAGAACTCTGTAAATAATTGTGCCTGTACAGTATTAGACTATAGTCCTAAAAAAAGAAATTAATTTATGGATTTTTGATTACCAAACTCCAGAGTTTCGTCCTTACTTAAAACATCTCTTTTTTGTTTGTACTCTTGAAAAAGGGTAAGTTTTGAGGGATATTATATTCTAGCAGTCTCTGCTGAGYTCAGAACACAGTATCTGTTCCACACTTGTGAAGGTTCACCATTTCATTTAGGTAGCAATGCTTTCTTCCCAAAGTGGAATGAAATAGGGGGACTGGGATGAAGAGACAAAACACAGTGAAAACTGTTYTTACTTTTGCACAGGAATAGCAGGTGGAGACTCTGAATGAAGGGTGCCAGAATGCAGCCTTTTCCTTCTCAGAATAGCTCTTAGGTTCACATTCCCACCATCTCTATGTATATGCCAAAATTTTGATATTACTGAGTCATCAAATGCTTTTGTTTTGTTTTGACCCTAACTTTACCTGGACTATTTTAAATATAATAAAATGAAAAGCTGGCGGGTGTTTTTGAGATAAAGTCCCCTGAATATATAATAAATTCTTTTTGAGTTGAAATGTTTTGCTTTTCACATCAATGTGGATGGGAGAGAGAGAACAATGAAAGGTTCAGGAGTTGACATGAGAACTGGGAGAGGTCATTCACCAAATATCATCATGGGCAAAACAGACTTAACTTGAGGATATTAACTGAATTTATTACTAACAAAATCAGAACAGGATAATGAGGAGTAAAATAAATCTTAAAAATGCCTTCCCCCCACCCCTCCCTCCTTCCCAGCTCTACCTCCTCTCCCAGAAGTGCAGAGAGACAAAGGATGGGGGTTACAATCAGTTCATCACACATTTCTTCCACTGCTCAGGGAGAAGAGTCCGTGCCCTGCTCCAGCATTGGAATTTTCAACTTAACATTTACCTTATTTCAATGTATAACTAACTTTTTTTTTTTACCCTGGGAAAGTTGGTTTGTTTTCTTCTTCTCAATATTCTTATACTTCAAATTTTAGCTGGGATCTCAAAGTCARCTTCCTCTCAAGCAAGCTTCCAGTTGAAAGATTTAATTTTACAGTGCCACAGACACGTTCAAATAAAGGTGTGTAGTGTAACTTTAAAAAAATATATACACTCCTTAATTTCCAGATGAACTAGAATAGCTTGAAAAGCGAGGCTGGTAAAATATTGTTGTTGGCTTCCACATTATTTGTGCCTCATGTTTTTCTGTTTGTTTGGATCACAAGAAGGGATTCTTTCTAATCTGTTTTATCCCATTGCAAAGCCATCATCCAAGTCTGTGAAGTCATACTGTAGCTTCTCTAATTGCTGGAAGTTGCATTCTACAGTCAGGTGTAATATCTTGGTTTTATTAGTTTTGTTTCTTTCTCATCCCACCCCACCGGCTCTCATCAGCTGCAGAATTTGAGGTTCGTAATAAATAATATATAAATGGGCCTTCTCTGAAAGAATTCATGTAGGAAAGAGTCATACATGCTAGTTCTATACCACTCAAAATAACAAAGAATTACCCTGTTATTCAGAGATTTGAGTCTCTGCAGAGAGCTTCTGTTTCCACACAAATTCAGTAACAATCTTCACGGTTCAGATAATCATCAGTTCACCTCTTCTGTGGTTAAAGCTGGACACAGGCAGACTGTTTTTTGTAGGTGTAGGCTGAGATAAGAGCTTGGAACTTCACATTAATAAAGAAGTGTAGTGAGAAAGTGGGTATTTATATTATTTCTTCTTTGAACTACTCAGTACAGTCTGGTAGTATCTTCTACTTAGCATGTATAACCTAATCTATTTGAGCCCACAGTAATCCGGACGGAAAAAAAAATCCAGCAATCTCATCTTCAGAAATGTTACAGCTTTGAAATACAGGTTGGAGAGAAAACAATGTAATTTGAGTAAGAAAGCAAAGGCACAGGAGCTATCCATGCTGAGCAAAAACACTTTAAAATGACATCTTCTTGCTTTCCAGTTCAGAAAAAATGACAATTTTGAAAAAATTAATGAACTGAATGTAATGTGAGATTTTGCGAAAGTTKTATCTGTGTGGCTCTTACATAAAGCAAAATAATAGCTATAAGGAAACATAATTTAAAGGGAAAAAAGTAGTTTGAGGAATGCTGTTTGCCAAGTTCAATGCTTCTCTCATTTGTTAAAAGAAGTTGATAATAATAAATTGGGTATTTTATTTTTTAGGAAGAGGAGAAGGGAAAGAAAAGCAAGGGTTTTTTGTGTCTTCCAATAGGCATGGAAGTGCCTATATCAATCTCTTAGGCATTCCTCTTCAYAAAATTTTTCTCGATTTTGTGAGGAATTTGTCCTTCACGTGTAAGGAAATTTGCAGTACACTGAGGATACAGCAGAGGGTGCTGAGTTACCTCTAAACAAATCCACTCATCCCTGCTCTTTGGCTAAGGGGACCAAAATCGGGACTGTGGCATTTTCTGTATGGGATTTATATGGAAAAGTAGATGTTAAGAGGAAGAGCAAGGATGTGATGTGGAGCCAGAATGTGAAACATCAGAAAAGCACCCGAAGGTGAACACAAGTGTGAGGGACTGCATGAGGTCACTGGAAGTTAAAACTGATTCAGATACAGGGAAAAAATAAGAAAGAAAGCAGGAGTCAGTCATGCTGGTGGGGTGCAAGCAGTAGTGGTCTGAAGGAAGAAATAATTTAGGCTTAATTTTGAAAATTCCTGAACTGAAGACTTTGGCGATGCACAGTGGGTACTCAAGGCTTCAGTGTTAAGCAGCAGCTGAAGCTTTGCTGTGTGACTGTAAGGAACAGAGACTGAACTGACCTCGGGTTCTTTTCAGTGTTTCTTCTTCAGCTTTGTGGCTTTAAGTCATAAGAGGGCACTAATTTATCTTTTGCAGTTTTCTGGGGGAGAACACGAGTATATATTTCACTACAAGGCTGTTTTATGCACACACGAACAATAGCAGAGGATTTTATTACGAGTCAGAATCGTGCTATTCATGCAATGGGGTCAGCACTCATGCTGAAGGTATCCTTGTTTGCATTATCGTTGCCAACTTCAGCTTTATTTCACAGTCATCACATCTCCTCACAAGGTGATGCTTATGCCATATAAGGCAGCATCGTGTCTATTTGTTCCTGTGTGACACAAAGRAAGTCTGTTGCAGACAAATGCTTGGTCTGTTAGACATAATACCTGATACTTGCCAAGGAGCATTTTCTACAATTGTGCCAATTAAAATGTGAAATCGCTACCACTTATTTTTGAACTCTCTTGTTCTGGCAGTCGGGAAARAATGCCATAACTCATCAAAATGCAGCACTGTTGGTTTATCTGTGATAGTCCTATTTTCCCTCCAGAATTTAACCTGCTCATGACCTGAGGAAATGCAATATGATAATTCTCTCCTTCTGTGGTCTCTGTGTCAAAAATGCCGACATCCTTCAGTCTGTAGATCAGCTTTGTGTGCCTTTGGAGCACATGCTGATTCTGGTAGCCTGACGTGCCKCTGTGCCGCTCTTCCTACAAATCTCTGCTGTGCAGATAGAAACTTCTGTGCAGAGAGGAAAACACTGCTCATGTCCACACTGTAGTGTTTGAAGTTCTTTCATATTGCAGCTTTAAGRTTGCTGGGTATCCCACCAGCTGCAGAAAGGTTTAGCACTGTGCAGTCACTAAATCATCTGCRTCACTAGAACCCCTGACTGACACAACACTGAGGTCAACTGTCTTTCAGAACAAAAGGATTGACTTGCTGAGTGTCCCAATAGAGGTTAGTGATGTTTTTTCTGAGGATCTTTTGTCTTGTGTATCCTGTGAGCTCTGGGCAACTCTTCCCCTGATTATGTTTAAAGTCCTGACACTTTGTCCCTTGAAATTATATTAAATATTCATCCTGAACTTGTTAGAGTAGTACCAGGGACTAGGGTACCAGCTGGGTGTCAGTAAAACAAAATGATACATTTGTGTGGTGACAAAGTGGGGAAGGATGTGACTCTGWGTGAAGTGTGAAAAGCTCTTCAGTSTTAGGAGTCAGTGAASGAGCTCTGGTAGCAAGTTACTCACAGTTTGCCACCAGCAAAAGAGGAAGAATCTTTCTGTTCTGCGAGTGGAGACAGCTACTTTCATTTTTGGCACACAGGACATGGGAAAGATCCCTCACAGCCCTACCCAAAGAAGAACAGGCCCCATACCTTCCTGCCATAGAGCTATTCAGAAGCCAGCAAATCTAGCAAAGTGGCTGTTCTACATCCTGGTCCACCTTGCAATACTCTAGATCCAGGCACTGGTGCTTCCAAGGCACACATGTAAAAAAAATCTCTGCAGAAAATGAGCAGTGCTGAGAGATTCAATGGTGAGCGATTCCACATTACTCCTGGCACTGTAGAGAATCACCCTGAGCAGGTGGTATTTTGTCTGAAACCTCTCAAATAAAAGCACACAACACATTTCCTATCAGGGCAATCTCCACAACAAGATCAAGTGCTGTCTATTCCCATGTTAAGGCATCTGGAGGGAAAAACACAAAAGAGAGGAGGAAATCAGTCCCACTAGACATTCCTAAAAGCTTTTTCTGGCCCCTGCCTTAACYGAGCACACATTTTAGCCATGTTTCACATCCTTGCTTAGCCCAGTGTTGAGCCAAACAGAAGCTGACTTT